GCAAGGATTTCTGCATTGCCAGCACCAAGGCTGTCTGCGTTTTCAGCACCAAGGATGTCTGCACTTCCAGTACCAATGATGTCTGTGTTGCCACTGTTATGTAATCTTTGTGTATCCTTGCCTGCCTCCCACCTCAAGACATGATTAATCTCATGTTCTGAGTCAATCGGGGAAATTGGGCCAACATTTTTACCAATACTAGTTATCTTTGTTTCTTGAGAAACATTGGGTTCGAATAGCTTCTCTGTACATTCAACATCTTCAGTTACGTCAAGTTCTGAATTATTATCCTGTTCTTGCAGTACCACTGCTGAAAACCTACCAAGTACACAATCTTGAGGTGGAACTTCCCCAGGTATAAACTGAAGAGACAGTTCATCTTGTCTGAGTCCAACCCTGTGAGGCCCAATCTGCTTCAGTGAAAATTCCACTTGTACTTGTTGCTCTTGAGTTTTTGTTTCAAACAAATGCAAGTCATTTATTGTTTTATCTGCTTCTTCCACATGTTCCAACTTTCCAGCAATATTCTCATGACCAAAGCTTATCTCAGTCTGCCTGCATTGTGAACTCTCTATGCTCATTGAAGCTAACAGTTCTTCACTTGACAACACCACTTGTGTCGTATTTACTTCTTTGAAGTCCTCGGCACTGCTAATCATAACATTGTCCTCATCCCCGTCGTCATCAGATAATGAATGAAATGAGTCTGCATCAGATACACACTCAATCCCAGATACAACAGACGGCTCTGTCACAGAAAAAGATTCCTCGTTCAACATGATGGTGCTCTTGATTTTTCCTGGCTTGGACTTTGATGTCATAGATTTGCTTACATTAGGAGTCTTTCTATTAGGCTTGATGCTGTAGCTGGCCCCAGCCTCAAAGCCATTTTGTGAAGTGTGTGCAAAGATCTCCACGGGACTCCTGCTGAGGGAAGAGTTGTTTGGAGCCAAATTTGTCGGTGGGTGCCGTGGTGTTGACTGAACACATGAATCACTCTGGGTACTAACTGTTGTATGCAGAAAAGGTTTGGTGTTGTGGGATGAATTGCAGTCCCAGAAAAGTTGTTTTTCATTGTTTAATCTGATCTGTTGTCCTGTCCTGGATGAGTAGGTCCCCGGTGAAGACCTGGGGGCTGAGGCTTCCACTGCATTGGAAGTACCAGCCACTGATGTTCTGGCAGGAGTATATTCTCTGACCGCCTCATGAGTTCCAGCAGGACAAGTGAGACCGGCGGTAGAATGCATAAAGCTGTTGTCACTGCACTCTTCACCTATGGTGCTTATGAGCAGATCCATGCACAGTGCTCGGATGTCATCGCTATTCTCATACACAAGTCCGGGATTGTAGATTTGAGGGGTCAACAAATGCCTGTCTACAAGACAGCTAAACTGAGGCAAATTATAAAAGAAGTATCGCATAAACTCAAAGTCTGCCAGGACTGACCTGTCAGCCCCCTGAGGAGGACACTGAATGTCATGGTGAGTATTGTCAGCAACAGACCCATGCGATGTCATGTGATTGACTTGTATTGATGATATGTCACCAAAATGCCCATGTCCAAACACACCATTCGCATCAGCTTTTGGTGTCGAGACTTCTCTTTGCTCCTCTCTCATGTCCGTCACGGGCGTTCTTGGTATAAATGGATATCCTGCTGGGGGAATAGTCCCCATGCAGCCATAAGACCTCTCAGCAGCCCCTTTGATGCCAAGATGTGAGGCAGAAAATTTTGGAGGAGAACCTGAGGGAGTTGAGTACTCGTCAGAGCTCTCGGAATCTTCTACTAGCTTCCTGCCTGTAGCAGTAGCAGACTCTGGGCAAGGACCATGGACACGAGTCTGTTCATTATTCTGATGTGTACAAAACTGAAGGGCAGATAGGGGCATAACAACTAGTGTGTTATGGCTATGATTGTGGGCAAGGCTATTTAAAACTTCAATGGTGCTTGCAGACAGCGGACACTGGCCGTGACCAGGTTCTTGAGGCAGTCCCACAAAACTGTGAGTTCCTGGTCCAACACTATTTCTTTGAGAATCCCTGGGTGCACAGAGTGGTATTGATTTATTGCTAGGCTGAGTGCCTCCTGCCTTGTGTGAGAAATGGCTTGGAAATTCTGGATTCTTTTCAAAATCTGAATTCTTATCCGCCGCTCTTTGAGCTATCACTGGATCTAAAAATGAATGACCCATAAAGGTAGGCAAAAGAGGAAGAAGAGAGTTATAAACAACAGTGACACATTTGGTATACTGTAAAACACCTTTCTTTTATGTTTTTGATTATTAAAGCCCACTGTAAAGTCTCAATAGGCACATATCATCACTAATATTTTAAATTAATACATGTAGCTAGGCTATGTATACAAACTGTATACTGTTTTGTGCGAAAAAAAGGTTGTTTTTTTAAAAGAAAAAATATGTTGAAATGTGTTTTTCAGAAACCAGGGTTATAAATACAAGATATGAAAATCCACTTGTAGATTTGTTAGAAGATAACTTACCTAAACGTGTGAAGAGTTTTCTTGCTACCAGCAGTAAAGACTGAAAAGGATGGAGTGCTCACATTTAATGAAATGTAATTCTATCTCTTACTCTGTCAGTATATGGGGGGCTGGTCTCTATCTTATATCAATAAATTATCCATTTTGTTGCTTACGTTGGCTACAAGACTAAAATTCTGAGTGATAAAAATTGGTTTTGGACATTATTAAAAAAAAATTATCACTTATTTATTGCTCTCACTGCTCTTAGGGTTGTAAATGCAACACTGAAGGCTATGGCGAAAGATCACAGGAATATAATGATTAAGAAACATTTAAGATAAACAATTTTTTAATGAATGTCCAATAATTTGTTATCACTTTCTAAAACTAAAGCAGGTGCCACATTCTTTGTTTTAAAAGTTATTTAGAGTCAAGACAAGTGAGAACTGTGTGGGTTTATTCTCTTCATTTATCTTTTTATAATTTTATATTTTTATATGGCTAGAAACTTTCTAGTAAACTGCAGAATCTCATTTGAAAATATCAATTAGGAATTAAGACACGCAATGGGGGGATTTTCCTAAGAGAGTGGATGAACCTGGAATAAATTATAAAGCTCAATCAAGTGGTAAACAGGGCGAATGTTTTGCCAAAATTAGCAAAGAGACATTAAAAGTTCTTGCATTAGACTCTTAAGATCTAAAATCCCATTTAGAAACAAAGTTGCACAAGCGAAACCAAACTTTGAGGCATAGACAGGGAAATTCAACCACTGTTAAGTAACAAACTTACAATTAGTGGTGAAACAATCACATCAATTTTACAGTGTCAATTAAACACAGACACTGGTTTGGGATTTCAAACAAATCCAGACCTTATTAAAAGGGAAAAGCTTGCATGCATTTAAAACAGTGATTGATAATTTAACAATGTTGTACAAATTATAAGGATACTCCTCCTTTAACTTTTTCCTTTTTTTATTTACAGATTTTTATCTCTCCAAAAGTTGGCATGCATGGTTATTCCACTTAAGAATGGATACTATAATGTTTTTTTGCATCAAAGAGTACATTAATGATATGACATTAGGAGCTGCAGACAACCTGATCTATTTGTTAATCTTTCTTTACATTCCCTCAAAACTTCAGATTATTTTTTATTTTTCATTCAAATGAGATGACTTCTGAGGCAGCAGAATACAGTTTTATAGAATAGATATTTCTGGTCTGAGCCACAGAGGTTCATTCCCCAACACCGTCCTGACCTAATGTGCCACTTAAAGTGCTGCAGAGTCCACCCTTTGCTAATTACATTATCGCAGTCCCCATTACCCATGTTTTCTAGAAAGCTACTGACACAATGAAGAAAATATAAAAGTTATACCTGAGTCTGGTTCTTGAGCTTACGCTCGTTCTGGAAGGCTAACGTGCTGTTCAACACAGCAGCTGTGTACTTGAAACACTGAAGGATTGCGGCTATGTCCTCTTGGTTAAACCTGGTGGTGGGACAGGGACAAAAACAAAGGATCATCTGGGTTATAGCATTCCTATGACATGGTAACAGTAACAGCTTAGATATATTGATCTGTTCATTAAATCGTCATAATATAAACAGATTGATCTTTGGGAATACAGGTATATAATAATATTTCCATATTTGTTGCTTTTTCTACTAATTCCTACTTTTTACGAGGTACACAGCTTTTTAAGTAGGTCAAAGGTGTGTGTATGAAAAAAGGTGTGGGGGGAAGAGAGAGAGAGAGAGAGAAAGGCATATAATTATGGGGTAGGGAATTATTGTACCAAAATGGTTGTTAAAATGTCAAATTAATAAAAACAATATACAAATACATAGATTTTATATACAACTGAAATGTACCAAACCAGTTGTTGCATTCAGGGGGGTCGGGTTAGGCATGCGGGATGAAGAAAAGCCTTTAAAATTGGGGGCTGGGGTAGAGGTGGCAGGGTGTAAACAGCAGGTAAGCTTGGGGGGGGGGGGTGGTGACACCACAAATGGCATTTACAGGTCAAGTAGTTTAGAAACAAAATAAAAATTCTAAAAGCTTAATTACAGTTCTGACATGTTCTAGGGAAAATTCTTCACACTAATGTTGATGACCATACTGTCTAGCAGATGTGATAGAAAAGCCTTTAAAATTGGGGGCTGGGGTAGAGGTGGCAGGGTGTAAACAGCAGGTAAGCTTGGGGGGGGGGGTGGTGACACCACAAATGGCATTTACAGGTCAAGTAGTTTAGAAACAAAATAAAAATTCTAAAAGCTTAATTACAGTTCTGACATGTTCTAGGTAAAATTCTTCACACTAATGTTGATGACCATACTGTCTAGCTTTCCCCAACCTTTTCCACCACATCCTCTGTAAAGTAATGAAATGCAATTGAAGCTAAATAACTTACTGTTCATGATTGCATTTATTAACCATGCAGGCCAGGGCAAGCAATTCCTTGCTGTTGTTGACACAGACTGGCACACACAGAAGGGTGTTCACCTGCCGTCTGATTATTTTCTCTACTTCATATCTCCTTTCCTGTAGGGGGAAATATAAACCTCATATTTTACTTTAGACATGCAGCCTAAGCTTTCTCCCAAACAAGTTATACAGTTGTTTTCTTATTTAAATTTAAAAATTCATAGAGTGTTTGTATGTGGGGGAGGGGGTGTTCGACTTCGGGTTTTTTGTGTGTGCGGTAGCAATGACATTTATTTAATGAATCGATCTGTGTTTTTTTTCCCTTTCAGTAGATAGTGCAGAAAGTAAGAATCCTAATGAAGAAATACTAATGAGAAGGACCAATGAATCAAAGGAATAGAGCTTAAGATAAAAATGGAATAAGTACAACTAACAGCCCCACTCTTTCACTGATGACAGCTAAGTAAGATATCCCTACACTGTCACTAAACACATCTGAGTGATATATCCCACCACACCCCCACTCTTTCACTGATGACAGCTAAGTGAGATATCCCTACACTATGTCACTAAACACATCTGAGTGATATATCCCACCACACCCCCACTCTTTCACTGATGACAGCTAAGTGAGATATCCCTACACTATGTCACTAAACACATCTGAGTGATATATCCCTCCACTCTTTCACTGATGACAGTTAAGTAAGATATCCCTACACTCTGTCACTCAACACATCTGAGTGATACATCCCTCCACACCCCTACTCTTTCACTTATGACAGCTAAGTGAGATATCCCTACACTCTGTCACTAAACACATCTGAGTGATATATCCCTCCACACACACAGCTCCACATCTCAGTGTTATATCCCTCCACACACACAGCCCCACATCTCAGTGTTATATCCCTCCACACCCCCACTCTAAGACAATGTGATATCTTCCACCACACACACACTCTAAGTGATGTATCCACCACCCTCAAAGTGATATGTTCTGCCACACAACAAGAACTCTAAGTAAGATCCCTCCACACATGACCACTCCGTCACTTACCACAGGTATATCTGCTAAAGTGATGGGCTGCTTTGTTTCTAGGGCTTTGCCAAAACAGCTTGAGGGACCCTGTAAATAATATGTGTGAATTTTGTCAACCATTTGTTTAAATTTTTAAATAAGGTTGATGTTATAGTAACATGTAGTGATGTTGTCATAACCCTTATGCATTAAAAAATAATAATTTAAATTTCATTAAAATGTAATTTCTTAAATTGTCTATTGTTTGTTTAAGGTTGTATTCTCATTTCAAAGATAATTTAGTGAAAGGTACTGTACAGACCAACAGATTATAACTGAATCATGCACACATTCTTTTGCATACAGTTCTGCTCCATATATTTCTATACTATTGTCATTTGTTTATTTGTGCTTAAACCAATCTCTTAGACAGTAAAACCCCATTGTGAGACACAAATGAACCCAAAAGGAGAAGCATATAAATAACTTGTGCTTATTTTAGATAGCCAAGCCAAGTAAATAAACAAAGTTAAATTTAAGTTATTTTTAGAGCTTAACCTAAATATTTTGCATTTTTCTTTTCTTGGGTTTGTCAAAAACGATTTGTGATGTTTTTGCAGTAAAATAAGAGATTCCCTGAGAGATTTTGGCAATATATTTTTATATCAGACGTTGTTGTCAATTTATCAGTAGATATTTCTAGATAAACAAAGTGTCTTCAAATGATGATGATTGAGTATATCAATTCATATGCAGTGTAACTCTAAGTCCAAACAGGGAACAAAACAACAAAATAATTAACATTAATTAAATGCAGAATTTTAGAGGAAATTGTTTAAAATATAAAATAGTTGTTTTGCCAAAATGTCTGTAAACTTACAGCAAATCGCACTTCTTCTTGTAAAACTGTGTCACCCACAGCCTGGAAAACAGAAGGAAATTTTAATAATAAATTATTTCAGAAAAACAACATCTTTATTTACCATTTGACACCACCAAAATACCAAGTTGTAAATCTCACTCAAGACAGAGGCTATTAAGAGCAGAAATGTTGAGTTAATGTTTCAAATAACTGGAGGGGGCGCAGGAGACAGACAAAAAATCATACTGATTGATAGAATGACATATGCTCAATATCTCAAAAACTAGAGCTGTTCTGGAAAACCGGTGCCAATTTTGGAATCAGCGGGTCCAATATACCTAAAAGCAAGTCTAACATTTGAGTCTTGTTTTGGCCGATGTGATCAGTGAATATTTTTGAAAATTTAAAGAAATCTGCTTGCTAGTTTACGATGTTGCATATTAACAAGCATAAACTTATGGCTAGTAAAAAAAAATGGATTTTGTACAGATACCTGTTATGTCATTGTATAAAAATAATAAAATTCATTATGTGGATTTTTTTTTGAGACTTTAAAATGTCCCTGTGGCCCTCAAGGAGAATGGTTTAGCCTTCTCTGTTATAAAATTACAAGTTGGGGGAGAAAATGTGGAAGGCATTGTAAGAGTTTTCAAATAAGAATACAAATTACTGACAGACCCGATGACTGGGGAAAACTTGACATTAACTGCAAGTACATGACTCTGAAGTCCTAATCCAGACTTTAATAGTACACACTCATTGCAGCTTTAACAAACAGATAGATGACTCAGTCTACATTAAATAAATATAGAAAGATATAGTTTTAATTTTAAAACTGGGATTGGAAAAGAATTTATAACTCTGACCCCACCCTTGCCCCCCATAAACTTATAATTTTTTAATAGTGTTACATATTTCTTGAGTAAGAGACCCAATACTTGCCCCCCACAAACTTATTTTATAATAGTATTACATATTTCTCGAGTAAGAGACCCAATCCATGCCCTCCATAAACTTGTCATGTTATAATAGTGACATATTTCTAGACTATTGACCCAACCTTTTCCACTGTAAACTTGTAATGCTATAATAGTGTTGTTATATATTTCATAGTATACAAGATGTGTTTAGGATTGGAAAAATAAGACATGACAATTAAAATGGACTTTTTGGTGGAAGCCTCTATCTGTTATTTATTATTGTATTGTCCACTGAAGAAGGCATCTAGCAGAAATGAACTGACATGTTGTTTTTTTTAAAACCTCAAAATATCTTGTTCCACTATTTATTTCACAGGGCTTGTACACAGCCCCCTATATATTTATATATATATTATATATTTCATAACCAATCTCAGTCAAGCAATCAGTTAAACTGAAACAACAAATCAATGGCAGGCAAAAAATCTCATCTCCCATGTCCTGAGCATAAATAATTGATTTCAAATTTCCCATTGGGAAAACAATAACGCTTTGTGGCCACCAGTAATCTTTCCTTGACTAGCCTGAGCCATGTCCTTTTATCTGGTAAGCTAGAATGTCAACCAGTGGCAGCTGGTTACATGTGGAACCAACAATGCAGCACTTCTTGCTGGTGTGATGCTAGAAGGTTAAATTACAAACATATGACAAATTATGCTATAAAATCAGTAATCCAATTCTTATTATGAAAATGACCAGCTCAATTATGTACATTTTGAAATATAAAAAAAAAAAGTATTTCATCCTTTGTAAGTAAGGACTGTATGAAAACAAACACTTTAGTATAAGAAATTTGAACACAGTCCTGCCCATATTATATCTTTAATTTAATATTGAAAATTTATGTGAAAAAATAATACAACTTATTAATTGCATTTGTATTATTTGTCCTGGTAAATCAGGAGGCAATTAATAATACAAATTAATATATTTAGGCCTGTCTGCAAAGTATTATCTGACCGAAAACATGTGTTTGGGGAAGGGGATTAAGGAGAAAGTGGGGTGGGGTTCGGAGATTGGTACTATCTGAAGTGGTGAGACATGAAAGATGAGAATGAATTAAATGGACTATTGGGGGGATGTGCAGCAGTGATATTCTACTGTAGTTCTTGATACTGTGAGAGTACAAACTACACGCTGCTCATCATAAACCCAAGACATCAGTTCACACTAATAAAATCTGGCAATGAGGTCACTGACCTCAATGTGCTTGAAATCATTCATATATTTGCCACCATCTAGACAAAAAGGACAAGAGGTTTCTGTTTTTTCTCTCCTAATAATGTTCTCTCTTATGTAAAATGATTGGGATTTTTATTTAAACTTACTTGACAGAAGAGCATCTGCGTTTCAGGCACCACTAGCAGTAAAAAACCAGTTTCTGCATCTGTTTGATGCTGGAGCTGAAAGATGAAGAGCACTATAAATATTTTGTTCAATAATTTTTTTTGGTTAAATTTTAAGACACAAATTTGAAAGTCAACATTGTTGCAATGGTGTTTTGCTTTTTAAAACATTTTTAAAAATAAAAAAATGATTATTTGTATACATTTTATTGTAAGAAATAAAAATAAGTTAGTGGTGAGTGAAAATAAAACACCCCTTAGAAATCCTCTTTCAGATGTCTAAGTGTGAATGGAATTCCAGTCTTTAAAAACGGGTGTGCTTGGAACTAATACAAAGAGATATTTTACTATCAAAACATTTTTAACAGATGAAATAGCTAAACGTGGTTTAAATACCAAGAAGATCTAAGGATAAAAGATGTCTAAGTCTATGTAGTCATTGCTAGGCTGTGGGTTATGTTATGATGTTTGTGATTCACTTACATATCTAACAACTTTAATCTCCAGCTGTGCTGCATCTGGATCATGTAGCTCCCCTGTTATAAGACACCAGGTAACAGCATTACAGCAGTAGTAGGACATTAGCAACGTATTTAACACAACCAATATATGCACACATACAAGTTCCCAGCATGACAACTTCACAGGTGTTACAGAAAATATGAAAAGCTAAATGGAAGTTTTGATGGTTTTCCACATCAAAATGAAACAAGGGTGATTTGTGTTGCATTTGTGAAGTCATCTTGAAAACATTATAGAAGTGTGTAGTCACTAAAAAAAATGGAAACTAACCTAGTTGTTTAGGCTTTTGTAGATGTGTACAACATTTTAATGATGGCATTACGATAAACCGACTGTTGCCTACTATATTGAGATCTACAGGTTAGATTTGAAAATTTAAGTACAGCCATATTTATAAGAGAACACAATCACCTCACAATACAACAGAAGAACACTGACATAATATAAAAGAAGATTATATATAACTGAAATGACAAGCACAGTATAAAAAAATATATAAATGTATTAAAACACATTTCATTTAATTTCCCTTTGCTTGAAGGCCCCCTGATCAATTCTCCCTGGAAGAAAGCTATGTCTTTGGGATGAACTTATTTAAATAAGGACCAGCTCAGCAACTGCTAATAACTTAAACTAGGGAAAAGGGATGGAAAGACTGACTTGTGAAATGGTTTTATAATGGAAAGGACTGACAAGAATGAGAACTCCTCAATGGCTAATATCAGTCTCAGTATCAGAAAATGAAGATTGGGGATGGGTGTCCAGCCATGAAGCTATAAATAGACCTCCAGCCAGAATGTCAACATCTGGATATCTGGATCAAAGGATTGCCTGGGCCTGGTCTTTAATCACATGGGCCAGATAAATCACACCAGTTTTGGGGGGGGGGGGGGGGGGGGGGGGGGAGTGTAGGGGGGGGGGGGGGGGCCTAATGTGTTTCCTCTATGACATGTGCATGACATCAAGAGTGGCCAGGTACACTGTAACCTAATCAACACTGTCACCAGAGAACTGCTCAATTTGGAGGAGATCTATTACAAAAAAGGGTGGAAATGGAACAGCACCATATTTGTCTCCTGCAGCATGAACAATACGAAAATTATGTAGTCTAGAAAAGTCTAATTGATGCAGTCTAATTGATGCAATCAACTTGCTCTAGTCATCTTGTAAATATCAACTATGTATATTCATCTTGTCACAGATAACTTAAATTTTTTTTCCCCCTGCATTCAACTTGGTGCAGTTGTGATTGCCAGTGTTTTAAAGAATACCAGTTTATATCATGAGGGTTATTTGCTTCTGGTAATTTGCTTTTCTAGAACAGTAAGGAACAGACAGCTAGTGTTGTTGTGAATGCTTTGCTCTACATTTTTTTTTTCTAACATGAAAGCAAAATTCTGAACTTATCATAGAACTTGTCATTAAAAGGACATGTCAGAACAATAAAAAAAAAAATTAAAAAATAAATGACAACACAGACTTGAGAAAAACTTTCCCATCAGATTAAAACACAATTTTTTTTTCGCATAACAGAATAACCTTGGATTATGTATAAAAGAAACTTGCTGTCATACCAACATTCCAATGTATTACAACACCAAAGGCAAGTAAGTAAAAATAAGAGGGAAACTGTGCTCACCACATAGTTGTATTAAAGACTCTAAGTTGTTGATATGTCCACTCTCTTTGCTGACATTATTTCTCAAAACTTCATATGTGACAGAAATCTGGAGGTACACATTTTTATAAGAGAACTTGCATTAAAACTTTTTTTTTTTTACACAAGAAAATCTTTCCTTTCTATTTGAGTTTACTTGAATAGTAAAACTTGTCAACATGCACTTATTTTTGAAAATGTTTTTTTTTTAAATTTGAACTGTTGAATGTGTGTGGACTAGAACCTAACTGACCTGGTCAACTCTCCTTACCTGTTTTAAACATAACTCTACCCTCTTGGGGTCAACACTGGAAAGTGAACCTGCCTGTGATACTACCTAATGCAACAAAACAATAAAAATATGTAAGCACCACACTAATGTAACAAAACTAATTATATAAAAGTGCAGTTACACAATGATCAAGGTAGAGCAGTTAAATTATTAAGAGTACAACAGTAAAATTATTGTTTTAATGAGATGGCCAACATGGTTCTTATAAAAACAAAATTCATTAGTCTTCCTTTGTGAACTATTGATTCAACTTGTGTTGTAAAATTCTGTTTTAAAATGATGATGATAGGAAAGTTACAGCCCAACAGCACTGCTGCATCCCACAAAGGCCTGTAGAGTACTCACCACCACCAAACCTATACTTTTCTGAGTCCCTCTCTCTGGGATCGGTAGCAGTAGCACTGGGGAAACAAAAAATGAAATCTTTAACATTGTGAGATGCACATAAAAATTTCGTAGCACATGAACATGTTGAGTACTGAGTACCTTAAAATGTCACAATGACAATGAACAACCAAGTTGATTCTGTGAATCCCCAGCCCAGTGTTACATTGAAATCTTGGACTTCTTGAGGGGGTCCTTGCCAGTACGTTTGTGTGAAATGGAAATTGTGGTGCAGGCATGATCGTCTGCGTACATCGTTGTTTGTGCAAGATATGAGAATGTGTACAGGTTTTATGAGGCCAAAACTGTACATTTGGTTGGGTGACACATATGAGGCCAGTTGAACATTTAATTTATTTGTGGCTTAAGAAGAGAAACAGTCAGGGGGGGATCTGTGCTTAGGTCATTCCTTCACAAAGAACCACCATTATTGAATGTTTCACTTCAAAATGTTGCTATAATTTTGAAAACATTAACAAGCATCTGGTTTTTTTTTTTTTTTTTTTTTTTTTTAATTCTTTAACCTTGCGATTTTTACCCATAAACCACCTGTCAAAGAAGGGGGTTTTTGCCTGTGGGGGTTATTAGGGAACTTTTGGATTCAGGGGGGCTATTCTTGGGGCGGGAAATATCAAATGAAACAAATCTTTAGTTCGTATCAATAAGTCTTTAAGTCTTTGTAGGGGCTTATTTGAAACTAACAATCAACAAATAAAACCCACAGAAAACTTGGTTGTTATCATGGGTAGATTTTCTTGAAATTTCAACATTTTAAAAAATATTAATAGATGTTTGATAATTTTTATTCAATAATCTCTATATCTTTGCTGAAATGACCTTTTTTTTTTTTTTTTGCCAGCCCACATCTAATACTACTTTATATTCACATACTGCTCCTATTGTTGGCATGCTAGAAGAAATGGCTGACCTGAATGGTTGTTGTCATTGCTGTGCTGACTGCCCAAAAGTTCCCTGATGCTGTCTTGGTTGTGGTTGACTGTCACCACTGTCTTTCCCCTCTGTTGCAGGATGTCACTGTATTCAGATCATGATCAAGACACATGCTTAGTCAACAGAGAAATCATTTCATTCTTCAACACACATACAAACAAAAGTAAATTCTAAGTTCATTGAGATGAACTGGTCTGAACATGTTCATTATTACTACTGCTGAAACAAAAATGTATGTTTAGTAAATATCTCATCATTCAACCACAAAACTGAGGAACATGTTGTGATTAGTGACAGAAGATAATATAGTAATGCACGGCTTAGACCAGTGGTCTCAAACCTGCCACGTGCAGCCCTCCAAGCTGAACCCACAAAATGATCTGTTTCACATTCTGTGAGAAGACACAATGCTTAATGAAAATAATTTGGTCAATAATTTTATTCTCTAATGGCCCAACAAGCAAGAAGTTTTCAAATTGAAAAACCTTTCTTAGACAAACAGAAAATGCCATAAATCAGTAGTTTGATTCTGATTTGTAAAGTCTTACACACCCTAAAAGAGATGGCAATATAAGTTTTACTGTAGTAGTATGGAAAGTCTTCTACAGCCTAGAATATATTTTAATGGAAATTTAAGTGTTGACCAACCTGATAAATCTACTGTTGGGTAGAGTTCTACAATTCTCATCAACCAGATGTGTGCTGGCAGGGTCACGCAGGTAGACCTTGATGAGGTGCTGTTGATAAAACAAATATAGACTATCAACACGACGGTTGGCCGCTTTCACAAAAGCAAGAGATGATAGATGTAGAAGTTACTAAAGACATAAAAGCACTTATTGTTACAATGTCTTTTTTTGGGGGGGATCTTACGTTCAGGGGGGGTCGGCTATTGTACATTTAGCCTAAATGTGAACATAGGACAATTTTGGCTGCAGTATAGGTACACACCGACCACTATCTTCGGAATTTTACTTCTTCAACGCCTTTTTAATATGTATTCCGGGTGCCTCTTTACTTAACGAAAATACATTTGACCACAATTTTAGGTAACTTAGGTTTGGAACACCACATCATCCATACCTAAACTCAGATGTCACTTTACACCAATAAGCAGTGAACCGTAAACCTAGCGCTGAACTAGTTCAAGGTCAACTTGCCTGATGGCAATTGGGCCCCTGATAAAGTGGGTCGCTGTTGAAGTGGGACTATTTTTATTTATGTAAAGACCCTAAAAAAGCTTCAAAAAATCTGACTAACAATTTTTCACACCCAGTCCGCTACTTCTAAGACATCCCAGCCAAACAAAGAAACATTTTGCTTCCTGTGAGACATCTCAGCCTTACTCATACCCATTCCGCGACATTTAAGCCACCCCAACCATACTCAGATCCTGTCCGCTACATCTAAGATATCCCAACCATACTTAGACCATGTCCGCGACATCTACGAAATCCCAACCATATTCACACCATGTTCGCTAGATCTAAGACATCCCCCAACAATGCTCAGACCCAGTCTGCTGCATCAAAGACATCCCCCAGCCATATTCAGACCCAGTCCGCTGCATCAAAGCCACCCCCAGCCATACCCAGACCTTATAGATATCCCCTGACACCAATCCCTAGACCCTCACACCACAAAACAACCCTGAATCCCATATGAATACCCTACAGACGCCGGCTCACGCAGGCCGTTGGCGTGCTCCTGTCCAAAAGAATGGACATCTGTCTTTTTTGGGGGGTAAGATTAACGCCAAACAACTGCACTAAACACGTGCTCAGATTCAGATGTCCCGGATCGATTGGAAGATCTGTGATCGGAAAGCCATAAGAAACTATTCTTTGTAAACTTGAATAGAACGGATCTACCCTTATGACCATCGAAACACGGAATTTAACTCTTCGATCCATTTTGAGTGCGAGTACAGCCAATAATACGACGAATTCAAATGACGTCGACATGGGGTTGGGTGGGTTTAGCGACAGGCCTAAATAACAAACAAAAAACTCCAAGCTGCAAGTGTAAGTGAGAAGGGAGGTCCACCCGTCCGTCCGTGAGATCAATGTGTGTCGGCTGCCGGCTTGTGTTGAATGCACGTCCGACTCTGTCTGGGACATGTTCCCATCTTATCACAAACGCAGGATAAAAACCGATTCTTTTTCCCTGGCTTTAGGATTCTTTAATCAACATCACTTTCCTCAATCTTCGAGTAGTTCCCTTATTTTTTCTTCATCTTGGTTAACGTTATCATTGACTTCTGTAATATATATATATATATTATCGACTTTAATCCAACTACGACACCAAAACACGTGTGTGTCCAAACAAAAAACCGCACCACCCGATATATGATGCCATGTGACAGTGTCAAAGTTAGGATTCCCGTGTCCGTTCACCTTAATTCGTAAAAGTGTTTATTTTAATTTTAAATCGTATTCATTTTCTGATCCTACTTTCTACTTGTCTGACCTGGACGACATCGTGTCCCAATTTGCTGGATTTAAGGACATTGATATAACGATAACATATTTGCTTTACGGAATCATTCCTGTCGTCATTTCTCAGTTCTCAGTGGGCAGAGTGTCACACAATAAAAAGAAAAGGGGGGCGACTACCATAAAACGTAAATTTGTTCACAGAAAAAAACAAATCAGGGATTTTGTTATTGTGTTTTCACAATTGACAATAAACTACCGTCTGGTCGTTAATTCTACAGAAGACGTCAACAAGAGTAGCGGCCCTCTCTATCACAAATCCCTATATAATATGACCTGATTAGAGTTTACAACTGCACACTGTCTTCATATAATTGATTAATTTCTCTGTAGTATCTTTTACCTCGTGAAATAAATCAAGTGTTACAAGCGCTTATAGGGGGAAAAGATGGAAAGAAGTTAGAGTACATTGGCTACAGAAGGGGGAATGTTAGGAATGAAGATTTTTATGAAGTCATCCAGAGCCTCTTTGCGGAATGAATTTTCCTGAAGCAAAATGCCAGCGAGCTCTAGTTCTTGAAGGCAAACTTAATCACAACCGTTCAACACTGCTTGTGTATTGACGCTGGAATCAAGCTGGCGTGAGGGGAGATCCCTTTTTACCCACTTAAGCCACGGGGGAGACAACAGTGAATGGGGGTGCATGGGTGTGAGCCCCTGTGTAGAGGAGAGTGGGCAAGTGAAGGGATGTGTGCCAGTTTTTAATGGATAGTTTCAATTACTCGGTTTCAGGGAGATAGAAAAGTGTCCAATTGAAGATGCCTGATGTAATGAAACTGAGTTTATGACTATTGGGATGGCGTGCTTTATAAATAATCTAAGTTTTGTAAATGATATCTACAAACAACTTCCAGACAAAGCCCATGCGACAAAGAATAAATTGATTATTTTCAGAAACCTCTTTCAAACAAAACCTATACTACAAAGAATATAGTGATTATTTCCACAAAACACTTACAAGCGAACCCAAACGACAGATAACATGATTATTTCTAAAACAAAAAAAACAACACTTTCATAACAAAACCCATACGACAGAAAACATAGTTATTATTTCCGCAAACTACTTTAATACCAACACATCGACATAGAATATACTGATTACTTCCATAAACCACTTTGAGACCAAGTTGAAAAAACAAAACCACACAGACTACATGCATACATTTAACTATAATATATATGGCATCCTTCCGTCTTGCGAGATGATGGAGTAGCTATGGACACTTCATGAAATGGCTTACTAGGCCGATCCGGAAATGGCAGTCTCGGCTTCATTTCTTATATAGGAGAAACCTTGACGCTTAGTTTTGTACTATCCGTTAGTTTAATATTATTTCATGTCCGCTTATTAAATTTAGCCCTAGTAGCTGCTGCTTTTGCGATCCAGATGTTCCCCTATTCGTTAACGGAGAGTGAACTAAACACAGTGGATCCAATGTATGTGAAATGCTTGAACAGATTCGGCTATACATAGACATTGTTTAAACAAAATGTGCAAAGTAACAAATCGAGCCAAGAAGAAAAAAGTTATGGAAACAATGAGCTAAATGACAAACAAGAATAATATTAGTTCTAAACATTTCTGAGACTCTCATTAGTTGGACAATTTTGCAGCAAAGTTAAATATTAAGAACGATGACCGCCTGTTTCACTGAACAAGACACAGTTGGCTGTGTCAGCACTACCGAGGAGTCTTTTCAGATTTTTTTTCACCTACCCCCAACTGCGTCATTTGATGGTGGTTTGCATTCTCTAACTAATTAGATTAGTTTATGCTATTTTCTGTGGGCTATCGTTGAAGTCCCCCCCCCCCCGCCTATCCATCCCGTTGTCCTTTGCTGACCAGTGATTGGGCTTCATTATTAGAATTGTACGTATGCGTTGAAGGCGCTTAGGTGCATGTCTGCCTTTTCATTACCGGCTGTAACAACATGAGCTGGATATTATTTAGTGACAGCGGGACAGGCAAAACAGAAAAATACGGATGGGACAAAAGTTGTCGCAAATATTCCCATCACCATGTTACAGATTTTCTCTAACTATTTTGTCGACCATTCTGTACTTGTTGGCTGAGTATTGTTTTAACCTCTGTATTCTCCGGCCATTTCCTACACTATCATGGCAAAAAACGGTACTGATTTAATCAATGGAAAAACCTACCCACAAAAAAAAAAATAATAACAACACTTAAAACATATGTTTCTTCCAATATGCAACGAGAGCTCCATCGCCAACACGTTTGTCCATTCTCTATCCATTCATTGAAAAGTTGACAGCTAATGCAAACGCACAAGCAATCAAACGACAGGGATCGATTTATCGATACGAATCGGTTGTTGATTGTGTCAGGTTATTGGTGCGTGCCACAAGCCAGTCTCCGCCTTTATTACCTTGTTGGCCGCCATGTTTCTCTCACCGGCAGGCTTACGAGCAGACGTCAAGCCCTTTCTTCCCGCCACTTATCCCCAGGTCGATGCCATTGCTGTATTGCTCCTGAGCTTTCTCCGACCACCTGCCCGGAGGAGATGCCGTTGGAAGACAACAAACGACCACCAAATAAGACAAACCATTGGCTAAGATGCTCGCTGGCACCAAAGAAAGTAAAGTTGGACAAAGTCTAGTCGAAACTCGCCCAAACATAATATAACAAGAAACAATTGGAAAATTGCCACACACAAAATTGTAAAGCTGATGAAGTGGGCCAGTCCTCTGAAGTGACGTGCAAAAGTTTAATGGAGCAGAAAAAGCAAATGATTGGCTTATGTATATACCCATGGCGCACACGCTAGACCAAACTCTAAGTGTTCCTATGCCACAGACCATGCTCACATAAATGAAATAAAACGTACACTTTGTTTGTTTTTTTACTTACAGAAATAATGAAAAAAAGTTTTTTCTCTCATCTGGATGCTTATGTTTTTTGTGACTCTATTGACACTAATCTTTAAAAAGAATCAAATCGGTTCGATATAATATACATTTATTTAATTATATTGAATACTTAAAGCATGGGTACTTTGCTTAAAAGACGGCTGGAGGAACTTCGTGAGAAAAACTGTTGGCGTGTTGTTTTTTTCCCCCTGTGATAAAGTGCTTTAAAAATGTATGTATTGCCCGCGTAAATAAACTGAAGTTATTTTTAAAATTGAGCCGTAATTTATATGAGTGGTCCCCCTCAAAGCAATAGCGCAAGCTCAGTATTATTTATGCATTTACATGCAACCCGCAACAATGTGTTCATAGTCGAGTTTCCGGAAGCATGTCTTATTTGGCTCTATAAATTTTAATTTATTTGGTATTTTAAATTGATTTGTATAGTAATTTAGGAAAGCGTTTCCCAAACTTTTAAAAACATTTGGCGGACCGATGGACAAGTTTCCAACTGGCGCCAGATTTATTAATTATCCTTCCTTTTTATTTGTACATAAATATTCATGTTGTGCGGACAGGCAAAGTCTAGTCCGCGGACCACCTTTTTGGCAACGCTGATTTACGAGTATGGACTGTAATGATTGAAATCATATATCCAAAATGGCCCACATTTCACAATTCCCGAAATGACTTCATTTTTTCCCCCTCAAAGTGCCAGACATGCATTTAACTTTATTTTAATCAATCTGCCTATGACCCGATCTTGAACCTCATCGTCTCCCATTGGTCACCGTGAGGGCAATGTTTAAGTCCTGCGTCCTACTACATCCTTGTCTCCCATTGTGCCATCTAGATGTCCATTACTCTGTACACGGAAAGGTTGTTTAGTCTTCTTTATATAGCGCGCAACTCAACCGACGCCTATAGACTCGTCGAATTGTCTGTTGGTGAATATTGTTATTCGGTTAGCATTAACACGCAGACCAAAGCCAGGCATCTGTCCAAACATTGAGGGAATTGTCTGTGTCAATGAATATGAACGGATAGACAAAAGCCAGACATCTGCCCGCGAGTGTAATGATCAGCCTAGTCGTGGTAACGCACAGACCAAGGCCAGACATGACGTCAGATTGTCTATGACGGGGGCCTGGTTTTTTTTAAATTTTTATTAACACATCGAGGTAAAGCCACGGGGTACGCAGAGAACTCATAAATCAAGCCTCCTTAACTACGGTCCACGGTCGGGCCTACATGCTATGTTGTACGTACGCTTATTTTGCAATGGAGGATCCCGGGGAAAAAACAGCAGGTGCCGCGAAACTAGCAACAAACTTACATTTTTAAAAAAAGATATATATATATATATTGGAAGTTTATTTTTAGATCAAAACAGAAATTAATCTGATGCTAACATTAAATCACATACGGTGGCAGCTAGTTTCAGTGGTATCCGATGCAATTGTAAATTTATAGTATTGTGAAAGGTTTTCGGGAAGGGGTCGTGTTTGGGTACAGAGATATTGCCTGATCGGGAGCTGTGAGCTCATGGAGGTCCCTCCCTATACGATCCAATTTGATTATATGGTTATCTTTTCGAAGAAACATTTCTTGCGTTATGTAGGTGAATGGCGTGATTTATTTGAAAGTCAGTCTTGAGAGACCAAACGAACCAGCAAGCCAACAGTAAAACAAAACACAGCCTTTCATTTATTGCTTGGCCCGAACATTGCCCCAGCCAGGACTATCGATTTATTTCACAGATGGTCCCTGTATACTCAGTTCTTCTGTTATTTCATTTAATGTAGGTAAGCTTATTTGTGTGGGGAAGGGGCGGGTGTAGAAGAGAATTGATACTTCCCTTCGTACACAATCCAATCAGTATTATTACAATACTTTTTATCTATAGGGGTCATAATAAAACTTTTTATTTAAAAATATAATATTCTCACTATCACTAATTGCCTTACTGCTCTATCAGAAATATAATGAATATATATATCCGTTTTCAAGCATTTAAAAATATTAGAGAATATGGACCTTGTTTGGGCATATGGACAGGCGACATGTGGTGGTGGGGAGTGGTGGGAATGAAATCAGAATAGGAATATACGAAGTAAGTGGGTTGTTTGGTCCCATTTTAAGTAAAGAAAAGTATGGCTGTGAATAGTTCTGTGAGAAGAGGAGTGTGATTGGATTGTGAGCATGCGAGATGTAGAGTTTTAAAAGCTAGATATAACCCAATAAATCTACGTTCGGGACATGGACTTAATAAACTAAACATTTCCTGCAACAGTTAATGTAACAGTGACAGTATAGTCGCCTGAGAGAAGAGGGTTTATGTCCGAGTGTAGCTGAAGGGACGTGGTGCAATTTATCATAGGGTATGAAGTCATTGGATGGTATGTGGTTAATGGGATGGAATGTGGTTTAATGGGTTGGGATGTGGTGGATGGGATGTGGTTGATAGGATGGGGCGTGGTGGATTGGATGGGGTATAGTTGGGGGTATAGTTGATTGGATGGGGCGTGGTTGATCGTATGGGGCGCGGTTGATCGGATGGGGTGTGGTTGATTAGATGGGGCGTGGTTGATTGGATGTGTTGTAGTTGATCAGATGGGGCGTGGTTGATTGGATGGGGCGTGGTTGATTGGATGGGGTGTGGTGGATTGGATGGGGCGTGGTGGATTGGATGGGGTGTGGTTGATTGGATGGGGTCTGGTGATTGGATGTGGCGTGGTTGATTGTATGGGACGTGGTTGATTGTATGGGGCGTGGTTGATCGGATGGGGTGTGGTTGATTAGATGGTGCGTGGTTGATTGGATGGGGCGTGGTTGATTGGAGGGGGTGTGGTAGATGTGGTTGATTGTATGGGGCGTGGTTGATCGGATGGGGTGTGGTTGATTGGATGGTGCGTGGTTGATTGGATGGGGCGTGGTTGATTGGATGGGGTGTGGTAGATTGGATGGGGTGTGGTTGATTGGATGGGGTGTGGTTGATTGGATGGGGTGTGGTTGATTGGATGGGGTGTGGTGATTGGATGTGGCGTGGTTGATTGTATGGGACGTGGTTGATTGTATGGGGCGTGGTTGATTGGATGGGGGTGTGGTTGATTGGATGGGGCCGGTTGGTGTAATAAATTATGTGGGGGACATGGATTACTGTAATAATCATGGAGATAATTTATATGTCCACAATCTCCTTTCAGCCCCCCACCCACCACCACTCTAAATATGCAATTATGAGAGAACTGTCCAAAGAATATGTTTCAGAATAAAATAACTGAAGATGGGCTGAGAGTAGAATGTGTTATAGTGAAAGAGGACATTGCGTGACTGAGCCAGCAAGTGCCTCCCCCCCCCCACCAACCTCCACCCCTCGTCCCAAATGAGGAGTGACTGGGGAGCAATGAGACCGTGTAGAGAGATCTGCCGATAAGGCTATCAGTTACCATCTCGTGAGTAGTTGGCCTGATGAATGCTGGGGGCATTATTGCTGCTCAATATTGCCAGGGGAGAAAGAGGGAGACTGGACGTTAAGGAGAGGGGGAATGACCGCGGTGTGAAGGAAGGTAGCATCAACTTGCGTGAAGTGTGATGGTGTAATTTGTCAAGCAACGGTGCAAATCACGACTGGCGGGTTGAAAGATTATAAGAGAGACGAAAAAAAATAGAAATACGGAGTGAAGCTTTTTTCAATGAACTTAGGTTTAGCTACTGCAATATTGTCGTCATCATGGAACTATTCAATGTTTCACAAACCTCACTAGTTTAAGTTCCAGTGATGCTCATATTTACAAGATAGCTGGGATCAGTTTTCTACGTTTACGTATTGTGTCGGAGACTTGATGAAATCCGTTGTCTATAGGCGATGTGTTTTATGTGAACTGGTCAGTTAACCATTGGGAATAGAGATCATACTATAGAGAGTAAGTAACTCAGATAATGCTCAGAGAATACGTTGCTAAGATAATGCTCAGAGACATATGTTACTGAGATAATTTTCAGAGAATACGTAACTACAATAATGCTCAGAGAATACGTTACTAAGATAATGCTCAGAGTGTATGTTACTAAGATAATACTCAGCGTATATATTAATAAGATAATGCTCAAAGAGTACGTGCTCAGAGAGTGCCCTCCAAATCAATACACTGCTGAAATGGCGTTGTCACAGCTGAGTAAAAAATAAACTTGGGCAGATTAGCATAGCGCAACATGTATTAATGATGTATAGATGGCAAATGTTGCTTTCAAGAGTCGGACCGTTCCCCATACACTAGGAGTCGGACCGTTCCCCATACACTAGGAGTCGGACTGTTCCCCAAACACAGAGGATTCGGACGGTTCTGCATAGAGTCCAGCGTTACTCTAACTTTAAGCTATAAAAATAAGTTGAAATGGTGAGCTTTTCAAAAGCTTTACTTTATCTCTATTGACAGGCATAAAGTGATAGACCAGAGCCTACGGCGTGTCAGACGTAAAGAATCATTAATGTTATCACTCAGACGTAAAGAGTCAATGTTATAACTCAGGCGTAAAGAGTCATTGATGTTATAAATAAGACGTAAAGAGTCATTAATGTTATAACTCAGGCGTAATGAGTCATTATTGTTTTGTAACCCAGACGTAAAGAGTCATTAATGTTATAAATCAGATGTAAAGAGTCATTAATGTTATAAATCAGACGTAAAGAGTCATTAATGTTTATATCTCAGATATAAAGAGTCATTGATGTTTATAACTCAGACGTAGAGTCATTAATGTTATAACTCAGACGTAAAGAGTCAATGTTATAACTCAGACGTAAAGAGTCATTAATGTTATAACTAAGGTGTAACGAGTCATTATTGTTATAACTCAGACATAAAGAGTCATTAATGTTATAACTAAGGTGTAACGAGTCATTAATGTTATAACTCAGACATAAAGAGTCATTAATGTTATAACTCAGACATAAAGAGTCATTAATGTTATAACTCAGACATAAAGAGTCATTAATGTTATAACTCAGACATAAAGAGTCATTAATGCTATAACTCAGGGGTAAAGAGTCATTAATGTTATAAATCAGTTATAAAGAGTCAATATTGTTTATAACTCAGACGTTCTAAAAATCCGTTGTGTTTACATAACTTTAAAAAAATTCCATATCAATATGTAGTGACAGGTCCCCCCACCCCCCAAACAAAAAATATGTAAATTAGAAAAAGAAAAAAAGTGCAGCTGATTTGATTATGGGAGCTTTCTCCAAATGAAATACACGATTTCTGTTACAGTCTCCACCCTAAAGACATAACCAAATGCTCCTAAGATGGTGGTCCACGAATCGAAACCTGTACTGAAACCTTAAGTCGACGCTAAGTTAAAAGTGAACGATTTAAGAAGATCGATAACGATAATCAATTCATTGTGTACAAGTCCCTGCTAAACTATGGATACACATTATGTAAAGGTCCGTCAGGCGACGAGTTTGGGGATCACTGGCATAGACAATGTTTTCAGTGCTACGTTTTACGATCTGCCTGTCGGGCATCTCTGACTTTAAGGTAATAAATCTAATGGATACTTCCTTTCCCCCTCCATTCCGTTCCCACTCCCCGATATTTTTGTAACATTCCATGGTACCAACTACAAAGAACTGACAGTGCAGATTATGCTATCCGTGGGTTTTGGTTGGGAGGGGAGGGAGGGAGGGAGGGAGGGAGGAAGGGAGAGAGGGAGAGAGAGAGAGGGAGGGAGGGATGGAGGGAGGAAGGGAGGGAGAGAGGGAGGGAGGGGGGGAGGGAGAGAGAGGGAGGGAGAGGGAGGGAGGGAGGGAGGGAGGGAGGAAGGGAGAGAGGGAGAGAGAGAGAGGGAGGGAGGGATGGAGGAAGGAAGGGAGGGAGAGAGGGAGGGAGAGGGGGAGGGAGAGAGAGGGAGGGAGAGGGAGGGAGGGAGGGAGAAGGAGAAACCAAAGATCAATGTAAAGATTTGACGCGCACGTCGCCCATCAAAACTACATGAGAAGCTATGTAAGTAGCTCATCTTAAAATCCTGTCAAATCACTGAACCGTGATTAGCCCGCTATAAATTGGTAGTTTAGTCACAGTCACATCAAATCCAATCATTGTATAACACGATGCCAAGGTTTTTAAATTAAAAAAAAACTACAAACTTTAAAAAATAATTTTAAAAATAATAATGACACTTGAACTGTTCCCTTTTAATTGATTGATTATTGAATGAATTCATTTGAATAAGTTTATTTAATATGTAATTATTTATGATTTACGAGTCTCAAGAACCACGAAAAGTTCCGAATGTCAGTAAAAAGCTCCGGCCGAACGTTAACAATTATAAGGTTCCATGTCCAGCAGGTCAGGTTGGTTAAAATAACTACGCAGAGTTAGTAACTCGGTCACAGAATTGTTTTCAAATCCGCAATAATTATCCGTTTTAACTGACCGTGGCGGAGAATAAATTCTCTTTATTGAACTCTCAAAAGTGCACCACTCCATAAATACTAAGGCTTCGTGGCTTCTGTACGGGTTGAACTGGGGAAACAGCGCCCCCACCCCACTCCCCAAATGGTGGCAGATTATTAGATAAAAAAATAATGTGAAAAGTCTTAGCTACGGGCTGTTTGGGATGCAAAGGGGTGGGGTAAGTGGAATTCTTTGGTACTGGGCAGACCTTGATAAACGTGTGATATTTTAAAGTCTATTCGTGCTTAGCTAATTCTATTATTTACAGAAATACAAGGCAAAGGATTTGGAGATTTTTAAGATGGTCACAATTTCTAGAGATGTTAAAGAGATGTTAAGATATATTTGCGGAGCAGTGCTTACCGTGTTTAGGACACATCTTGATAAAGTCAATTTGATGGCCTCCCTCAGCTCCCCCAGACTGTTGGCATCCAACACCGGCATCAACGCCTCCTGTAGAAACATACAACATACAGATTTAGTTGGAAAGACAAGAGTTAATTTTGTCAATCTACAAATACCACATACTATTACAATGATAACTTTCAAAGACAAGGCAGGATAAGGCTTTAATGTTATTATGTATGTGAAAGGACATTGCCAGACAACTGTTTAGGGTGGGTATCTGAAGATATGGGACAAACATTGGTGAGAATAGTTTAATGCACAGGTAGTCCATGCGGCGTAGTATCGTGTAATCTAAGTCATATGGAGATATTACGGAGGTTATACCATAACCGGAATTCCGGTTATCGATTTTGAAACCGATAACCAGTTGTTGAATTTTACAAAACGATAATCGATTTATTTTTCATCTTTATTTTTATTCAGTCTTTTAAGATTAATTATTAAATAAATAAAATACTTTTTTAAAGTACAACGTGCAATACGCGTTCTCACTTCACGTGTCTCGCCGTACAGAACGGTACCAAAAACAGCGGACTGCCATTTGAAATAAAATGGATTTCAACTGCTTCTTTCCATGTTATGAAATAAGTTAACCTGACACTTGTATGTGGAGCTTTGGACTTTGGACATGCATTGCAAAAACCGATAACCGGTTTAAAACCCGACACCTAAAACCGATCAACGGTTTTCAACAAACAAACAAAACATAACAACAACCGATAATAACCTGCCCGTATAATTTGGTTACATTTCGTGTAATGGATGACTGATAACATAGATGAATATGGTGTGCTGGGTGTCATATAATGTAGATGAATCTCATGTCATTGGTGACTAATAACATAGATGAATATGGTGTGATGGGTGTCATATAATATAGATGAATCTCATGTCATTGGTGACTAATAACATAGATGAATATGGTGTGATGGGTGTCATATAATATAGATGAATCTCATGTCATTGGTGACTTATAACATAGATGAATATGGTGTGATGGGTGTCATATGATATGGATGAATATGGTGTGATGGGTGTCATATAATATGGATGAATCGCGTGTGATGGGTGACTAATAAATAATATAGATGATTATGATGTGATTTGTGTCATAAACTATGGTTATATTACGTGTGATTGGTGTCATAAATTATGGTTATATCATGTGTGATTGGTTTCATAAACTATGGTTATATTATTATGTGTGATTGGTTTCATAAACTATTTTATATTATGTGTGATTGGTTTCATAAACTATGGTTATATAACGTGTGATTGGTTTCATAAACTATTTTATATTATGTGTGATTGGTTTCATAAACTATGGTTATATAACGTGTGATTGGTTTCATAAACTATTTTATATTATGTGTGATTGGTTTCATAAACTATGGTTATATAACGTGTGATTGGTTTCATAAACTATTTTATATTATGTGTGATTGGTTTCATAAACTATGGTTATATTATGTGTGATTGGTTTCATAAACTATTTTATATTATGTGTGATTGGTTTCATAAACTATGGTTATATAACGTGTGATTGGTTTCATAAACTATTTTATATTATGTGTGATTGGTTTCATAAACTATGGTTATATAACGTGTGATTGGTTTCATAAACTATTTTATATTATGTGTGATTGGTTTCATAAACTATTTTATATTTTGTGTGATTGGTTTCATAAACTATGGTTATATAACGTGTGATTGGTTTCATAAACTATTTTATATTATGTGTGATTGGTTTCATAAACTATGGTTATATTATGTGTGATTGGTTTCATAAACTATGGTTATATTATGTGTGATTGGTTTCATAAACTATGGTTATATTATGTGTGATTGGTTTCATAAACTATGGTTAAATAACGTGTGATTGGTTTCATAAACTATGGTTATATTATGTGTGATTGGTTTCATAAACTATGGTTATATTATGTGTGATTGGTTTCATAAACTATTTTATATTATGTGTGATTGGTTTCATAAACTATGTTTATATAAAGTGTGATTGGTTTCATAAACTATTTTATATTATGTGTGATTGGTTTCATAAACTATGGTTATATAACGTGTGATTGGTTTCATAAACTATTTTATATTATGTGTGATTGGTTTCATAAACTATTTTATATTTTGTGTGATTGGTTTCATAAACTATGGTTATATAACGTGTGATTGGTTTCATAAACTATTTTATATTATGTGTGATTGGTTTCATAAACTATGGTTATATTATGTGTGTTTAGTTTCATAAACTATCATTACATTACGTGTGATAGGGGTCATATATTGCTTTTTTTTTTTTTTAAGTGTGTACAGGGGCTTATATGCGTTGAAAACAACACATAATAATATGTTACGTATATACTGTTTGCAATGATAGCAATTGTGCAAGCTATAAGTAGCAACAGTTCATATATGCTGCAGTATTTTAATGATTCAACCTTAGGGTTGGCAGTACAAAGAGTTTCACTTTTACATACATCATCAACGATGACATTTTGAGGCTGTGTTGTAATGAACACACGCCTCGAGCCAACGGCAGATGTTTATCGATGTGTCGGTGAATACAAATGAATGTCTGGGAACCTTAGTGCATAAGGGTAGTTGATTTAGTAGAGTCTAGACGCCCTCAATACATTAGAGGTTACTTTTCTCATTTCCTGGGTTTCTGCTTTCCCGGGAAGACGGCATTAAAGAAGTTCTCATCCGGGATAACAAAAATTTAGTTAAAAATAAGTAAAGATTAAAAAAAAAGTAAATTTAACTATACAAAAGTTGGCTGATATAATTCCTTAGTTGCTATTTTCTATTAATGAATGAAACCTTGTGTTAAAGTTTCTTGGAAGGTTTTTCACTAGCTTCTAGTTGCTTCATTGTCCCCTGCTTGGCCCTATTAATAGATAGCTAGCTAATAATATGCTTTGCTTGTAAGGCGAAAGTGGGATATGACCTGTAGAAAAAACCTTTAAATTTTTTTTATGAGTTGTGCATTCTTTACAGGTCGCAAATTCAAATCCGTCATGAAATATTTGCAAAACAATTTTTCTAGCAACTTGTAACAAACGAGGTTGCTGATTTGGGAAAACAAAAAGCACGACATAACATGAAGGTAGTTTGGCAAGAAAAAAACAAAGAAAAAAAAACAACAACGCCAGGTATAATGCACTAGAGCACAGGTTCCCAGCCCACGGGACGTTACATCAAATGGGCTTACGAAAAGGTTTCTGTTTCGGCTGAAACAATTGACTAATAGAAATTTTAAGTTATATCTTTCTTTCTTAAATGGTGTCTAATAGTTTGAGTTACAATTCCAATCTGGGAAATAAAAGACTCAAACATCGAGTTTTAAAATGTTTTCATTAGCCTATATTGAGCTTCTTTTTTATTCCCCAGTAAATCACGGTAAGATTCATTTTGCTTCTGTATAAATGTGGTCGTGAGTTAAGAACGCTTGAGAGCTTGTGTGCTGGAGCTACAGAACGTATTACTTATACCGACAGTTTGTGACAATCATTGACTTGCTGAAATCGGGAAGGAAAAAATATTGCATTCTAAAAAATGTGGATCCGGTTACTAAAAATCATGCGGGGAGTGGACGACCTCCGTTTCATTCGAGCCCAAAATCACCTAAAACATCAGGTTAACACTAAATACATCATGGGTAACTTGGTGTGTTCTTTCCGACAGTAAAACTATTAATATATTAACACTGGTAAGTTGGCTTGTGCTGGTCTTTACACCTGAACAGCGCGGACATCTTCATAGTATATTTATATTATATTTAGATAACTTGTGTTCAACTCTGACCTCCTAAAGTCCTAAAGAATGAATAATTCCCACAATGTGTGACAACTCAAAAAGAGATTGTCTTATGATTTTTATGTTAGGCCTGAACGAGTTTTCATGATAGCAATACTAGCTTTATATATATATATAAGTGCAGCAGACCCTAATTAGACACATTAATGATAATGACACACATTAACAGGTGTGAAAATTTTTCGAAATTTTTAAGTACATGTATAAATGTACACCTGTCATGGCACGAGTCTCATAAAACAGGTCTACTCTAATAGCAGTAAGGTTTGTGGGGCGCGGTATACACGGGTTATCTATCTCATAATATTTACCCCAAGCTGAGTGCTAAAGAGGGACAATTATTTGCATAACATTTATCATACAGTTCTTTAAGTAAGTGACAAGGTCAGACAGCGGTGTAACGTCAATGCATGTATAATCACACGTCGATGTCTCGCAGGTCAGCAGGTCGTATGGCTAGTTCATAAGTCACCAAACTATACAGTCCTCCTGCAGTTAACACGATACACTATGGCTAGTTCATAAGTCACCAAACTATACAGTCCTCCTGCAGTTAACACGATACACTATGGCTAGTTCATAAGTCACCAAACTATACAGTCCTCCTGCAGTTAACACGATACACTATGGCTAGTTCATAAGTCACCAAACTATACAGTCCTCCTGAGGTTAACACGATACACTATGGCTAGTTCATAAGTCACCAAACTATAGAGTCCTCCTGAGGTTAACACGATACACTATGGCTAGTTCATAAGTCACCAAACTATACAGTCCTCCTGCGGTTAACACGATACACTATGGCTAGTTCATAAGTCACCAAACTATAGAGTCCTCCTGCGGTTAACACGATACACTATGGCTAGTTCATAAGTCACCAAACTATACAGTCCTCCTGCGGTTAACACGATACACTATGGCTAGTTCATAAGTCACCAAACTATACAGTCCTCCTGCAGTTAACACGATACACTATGGCTAGTTCATAAGTCACCAAACTATACAGTCCTCCTGCGGTTAACACGATACACTATGGCTAGTTCATAAGTCACCAAACTATACAGTCCTCTTGAGGTTAACACGATACACTATGGCTAGTTCATAAGTCACCAAACTATACAGTCCTCTTGAAGTTAACACGATACACTATGGCTAGTTCATAAGTCACCAAACTATACAGTCCTCTTGAAGTTAACACGATACACTAT